AATGCTGTATTCATGTAATGACAATATCAGTTAGTTCCACATTTCCTGACAGATTAGAGCACTCGTCCAACACACTTGTACGTGGTTTCGATGCAATCTTCAGCAGATGGTGGAAATTGTGGACTCACCTGTGGCTGAAACGCGGCGACAGCAACGAGTCCCCCCCTGTGTGCACCCTAAGTGATGGCGAGCGACTGTCGTCTGCTTCGCTCGCGTATTATGTCCCTAGTGCTGCGTTCAAATCAAAATATGCCCTCGTGTAACTCACGGGCAACTACAAATTTCGCCTCCCACAGCCTGACAAATTGATCATCAAATCAAGGAGTTCTTTCTTGACAGCGTGGCGTGGTGATGCCTGCATTTATTGGGTTTTTGTTTGACGAATATTGTGGGCAAAGCAGGAATGTGGTTCTGCCGCGCCGTGATGTCGGCGGTCGGCGGATCGTTCCATCTCCAGGCATCAGTCGCCTCGCGGCCAAATGAGTTTCAACATTTATCTGTTTACTTCACCTTCCTTTACCATCACGAGTGTACATAGATGTTATGTGCCCTATATGGCACAGTAGGGCCTACATATATAGCAATTGTAAACTTGCACATCAAACTTTTTCGTACAGAAATAACGGGTGATGAACATAATTACAAGTTTGGCCTCAGTCATTTGGATCGGTACTGTAAGAAAGACGCGAAATATTTAACTAATACAGTCGCAAAAATAACCGCAATACTAATGACTCTGGCTGTCATGCATGCCAGTACACACAGTGTGAATAAAGTGAAAGACTAACCTGGTTTGGGAATGGCACTGCGAGGCTTGTTGAAAGAAGAAAACAAATGCGTTTGGCGGTGAAGTCGAGAATGCTCGTAAGTCCAATGATGGATAGCGACCTCAACGGTCAATCGCAGCCAAGGAAGTCACGTTTTCACTACAGCTTTTACCAAACCAATGATAGTCTCCCCATATGATCCACAAGACGCCAATACGTGATCCCGGATTCAGCGATATTAATTCCGAGAAATTCTGGAAACGATACACGCTGGTTTCCCACGCAGACTAATCTGTGTTTCCTCTCTGGAAAGTCCGACGCAGAAAGTCACGAGTAGTTTCATTAATGCACTGGGAGCAAGGTCAGTACATCTGAACAACCTGTAAGAAATGCACACGTTGCCTCACACGCACTCAACAGTCCTGTGCGATTTCCACCGCTCACGAGGGACAGGCAAATTAATGGCAGCAAGTCTTGCTTGAATTAACATTTCGATCTAAGTCAACGCCATCTGTGATTAGTCTCTGCTCGTGGTTACTGTCATTTCAACTGACGTAACTAGCAACAACTCGTATACCTATTCAGAACAGGACCTATTCGCAAACTTACTGCAAATGATACAAAATAACGACGGAAACGTCCACAGGAAATGTGAATACTAGAAGTATGTATTCTACTTCCACAAGTACCTTTTCTGAACTTGATATTTCATGAAAATCTGAAATCACGAAAGTGACTTCAGACACTACTTCTATTCATGTTTAAAGTGAGAGTTACCCGGCACATTTTGTCATATATTTTACCTGTGTAATTGTTGGGGGGAAAAATGCACCCGTTGATAGACAGGAACTTGAATTCATCATTCAAATCCAAAGAGAAAAATGAAATAAAACTCCCTTTAAAATAACTCCCTTTGCAAAAGAACAGGGGCTGTTATGTTGGGGAATTATTTCTGCAGAATTCAGTTTCACTTCCTCTTGCGTGTACCAAATGAACAGTGCACATTTTCGATGCATCAAGTTGCGCGTACCTATTTCACACTGTTATACTGGCTATTTTCATATGACCTATGATAAATATATAACACTGTAATGTAACATATCAATTATAAACAGCATTGTTTAATGCCTGATATGCTGCTGTATAATATAACGTAACTGTTCTATCACTTGTAGGTTCCAGAACACCCCCAGTAGCAAACTATTTTACCTGTTACATTGATAAAAAATGAAAAAAAAAGTAAATACAAGCAATTAATTCTACACAACAGCCTTTTCTCTGATAGCTTCTTATGTTCATTGACCAGATATCACATACAATTGGACAGTTTTTCTGCATTCTCACCCTGTGAAAGAGATTAGATATACTACAAATCCTTTTAGTGATTAAAAACTGGGTGTATATCTTCCAAAGGAGAGATGTTACTCTGCCCTCGGATGATTTTTTTCCCATCCAAAAAACAAATCCCCCCCTCTCTCTTTCTCGTTTCACACAGAAAGCCACTCCGAGCCACAAACAAGTCAAACTAAACATCCACTCACATTTCCCGACCTGTTGCTTTGGGAATTCATCCTGGGCTTAAGGCGGTATTTGCACTGTTGCCATTTCACGGTCCGTAGCTCTGGGACTTGGGGGGGGGGGGGGAGTAAGATAGATGGCACTCCTGCATACAGCTCATAATCTCCATCTAGCCTGTACAAGACAAACACTGGAAATCCACTGAAACAGTAAGCATGGTGCCAGTGCTTTTTTGTTTGGGTTTTTGTTTTGGTTTTTTTTTTTATTTTACAATTTGTTTATTTGTAAGGCTTTTTTTTTTACAAATAGTATTGCTGGTTTGTTAGGAATGTAGTTTGCATTAGGGCCGCTGTCACTTCACCTGCGTGAATGTGCAAGTGCTCTACAGTTCTGTTGCAGTTTATTGGGAAAATGGGGAAAAATGGTTTGGAAGGTGAGTTTCCTCTTTCACATATTATTGATTTCTGGTCTCGTGCTGTTTTTCTCTTCTCATTCAATCAGTGTGTGGCAACTTTTCTGCATTTCAACAATTTGTCATTAACTGTCATCCCAAAAGTGCAGATCAAATTGGCAGTCCAGATTTGCTGAAAGAAAGCCATAAAAGGATTAAGAGCGATAACAGACATAGTGTACGACAGCCACTATAACGATTGATATTGAGATTGTGTTTTGAATCTTTAAGGTGTAATTTTAGGGGTCACACAAGGATTCAAGGATTGTCAGAATTGGAAATGTTAATAATTATGGAATTGCTCCCCTTTTTGCAACCTCCTCCAACTATATAAAAACACACATGGTATGATCTGCAAAACCCTTCACATGGTGAGCTTTGTCATTTGGGTGCATATCAAATTCAAATTAATATGGACATACTCTTGTTTTAAGGTGCATTACATTTATGATTTTAGGTTGTCTACAACATGAATCTAGGTTATTTGGAATCATGAATTAAACAGTTTTGAAAACAGGACAGTGTCCTGATCAATTTGGATTTGTGCACCAAAGTGACAAAGCTCACCATTAGGAAGGTGTTCTCAGATCACATATGAAATGAGATGCTGAAATTGTCATATTTGAAGCTGCGCTTAATGTTTTGTTGGATATGCAAAACAGAGTTCTTTTACGGCTATTGTTCATACCTGTAGACAGTTGCACTATTGCTAAACACTCAGGAAAAATGTACACAAAAGCATGTGAACAGAAACGGTGAGAACTTTTCTTTAAAGTGCTGGCCAAAGTCCAACTCTAGACAGCACCATGTTGATCACAGGAGTTACAAGGTCAAACAGGAAATCAGCGGATGTTTCAAACATACCCATGGAGTATGAAACACGACTGACAAGAAGGGAAGTGAAGCCTGCATATCGGAAAGGTGTTCCACTGAACTCACAGACCCCAGCTATGAAATCAAAGGTTATGAATGCGGCCTGGAAACAGAATTGTCAAACACGAAACTGGCCTTGATGTTATTAGTTACTGATCATACCCAAAGTAGATTAGACATGTTCTCAGTCCTTTGAAACCATAAAAGTAACCTTGTTGCATTTTTGAAAATTTTCACCCAAAAAATCTTGTCTGTAAATATTAAGTTAAGGTCAGAATGTTGAATATGGGGCGAGCCGAAGCTTGGCTCAAATGGGGAAGGGGGAATATCCAGATAAAGTAAAGCACTTGAGACATACCTTCAATGGCTTCAGACAAAACTCGGTGAGGCTGGCAGGGCATCTTGGGTCTTTGATGAAGACTTGTGCTGCGATGTCCAGCTGGTTTTACAAAAACGAAGTGAAGTACCTGAGCAAGAGTTGGAGTGACCGGATATAGCAGATCCATTGGTCAAGTGAGATTAGGAGATTAACTGAAAGCATGGAAGGGGCATGACCGGATGTAGCAGATCCATTGGTCAAGTGCGATTACGGGATTACCTAAAAGCATGGAAAGGGCCTGACCAGATATAGCAGATCCATCGGTCAAGATGCATTAGTGGATTGGCTGAAGGCTTGGCAGGAGCAACTTCTTGAAATGACATGGAGAGTTGACAGTAAACAGCAGACAATCCGTGTCTTGAAACCACGTGTTGACATCACACAAGTCCTCCAATCTCCACGGAGAGACGTTAGTGAAGTCAGACATTACAAGTCTTCCAGACAAGGAATCAATCTCTTTTGTTTTTTTTTTGTTTTTGTTTTTTTGGTGTGTGTTCGTTTGATTTTCTCTTCTATTCTCTTTTCCTTTCTTTTTTCGTCAAACTGACCCTGGCCACAATTATTTCAAACTTTTTCTTTGTGCATTTTTTTTAATCCCAAGTCCCTCTTTTTTTTCTTTTCAAATGTGACCAGTTAACTTTTTTTATTTTTCATTTTCTCTTTTCTTTTCTTTCTTTTCTTTTTAATCTTTTATTTCCCCCTTTATTTTTTTTCTCTGTTTTGGTGAATTTCATGAAATATACAATTGAAAAGAATGCATTACCATTAAGAGTACAAAGATGTAACAATATACTTTGAACAAACTGCATTTTTTTATACAATGCAAGGACTAAGATTACCACTACCATGTTAACTGAATAATGTTTAACTGAGTAATGTTTGCAGAAATTGACACGGCAGTTTTCTTTTTCAAGTTCAAGAAAAAAATTTGATTGGACAAATCCAACTGTCAACCTTGTGCCCCTTGGTCTGTTACACACCCAGTTAGAGACTAACACTTTATTTTTTTCAACCTTCACCACGATAGAAACTGCAGCATCTTTTTCCACTGGCAAAATTGTCAATTTGTGCAGACGCACACAGTTAAACTTGATATGAAACTAGACAAGAAAAATTAAAGCATTCCATAAAAGGCACACTCCTACATCTCGAGTGCTTCCTTCAAAGAGACTACACTCTCTAAAAAGAGACTGCAAAAATGAACTAATCCTAAAGCATTCTTTCTTTTCTTTTCAAACATATCTGTAAAAAGAAGGCTTTTTTTTCACATAGGTTCAGACACTGGGGAACTGATCCTATTAGCACAAAATCAGTCAGGAGAGCCAAACACATCAAAAGTTTCCCTATAACACATGTGGCCTGTACATGCATGATGCCATCATCAAGTATTTTGCATATGGGCTTTAAAAAGTATATTCAAATGCACACAGAGGGTCAGTTGCAAGTTTTCTGATCAATGATGAAAAAAGGAAACTGGAAGATCTCTTTTTCTGCACTTGAACACGCACTACGTGTACTTACAGACCTACTATTTTGCTTTTCAATTAATGATATAGTCTCCAGGCTCCCCTCAATGACAAGGATAGGCTTACACTTGATGCTATTGCCACCGTATGCCTGGGCTATGGCTCCTTCCTCTGCCATGAAGCTGTGTGCTTGTGCACATTCCGACGAAAATTGATTGGCTGCACCCCATGCCATACACATTTGTACTAGTAGGTACACGTGATGCAGCCTTGAGTGTGAAAGACTTGGCTAGAGCCAGGTAAATCATGAGATCCTACGAAAGCCGCAGGCTTATGACTACTGCAGTTGCACATTGACTGGGGTATCATTACCAGCCAGAGCAAAGTCCTTATGACTCCATTTTAAATCGTGATGCCATGAACAGGCCACCCAGTGCTGTTTATACAGGGTTCCTTAGGATCAAACATAGTCTCCTTTTGAGCCAATAAGGCAAGTTTGAAATTACTGACTGATCCTGCATCAGTTCGTCTGTCCGAACAAATTTCCCCCCATGGATGTACACAACACACCCAACGAAGATCTGACCATCTAGATCCAACTTGATTTAAAAGAACAACCAAAAACTAGAGTCAAGGACTACAAACTAAAGACGCATGAACGCAGTGGTAAAACAGAGGCCCTACGACTGTTTCGGAGGTTCTAGATGTTATACATCGAAAAATAAAAATCCCTGTGAGGATAGAAAACATCAGTTATACATATCCTCCGTACTGTGCTTGAAAAAATTAACTGGATGTGCCTTCAATCTCCATGGAGTGAGGCAACATAACAAACATTCCTGCTTGTTGTGCACGAACATGAAAGAAATCAAGTTAAATATCAACCAAACCCTACTCCTTGAATTAGTCCTTAAATTTGTCACTGATTGGAACTTTTTCCCAAGCTTGAAATCCTCAAATAAAATCGTCAAGTAGGCTGTCCAGAGGGACCAGTCTTGAAAATTGCAATCATGTGATACAGATCCAAATGTACAAGTTCCTAGAAGGATTCTATTTACACGCTTGGATATTTTGTTGGAAAGCTTTTCCAAATCCTGTCCTCGAGACTGGAAGGGGAATAGGAATCAATGTGTGTCATGTCTAGAACCTTGAAAAACCGCATCTGCCTGAATTCTCTTAAAGTGTCTGAAGTAAATATACATACTTTACAAGCAAGCCCCAGATCAAAAACCTAAACACTAAAACATAGCAAGGAATAATACTTGGATAGTTTCTAAAAAGGAAAAAAGTCAGGGCATTTATCGTAACACTGATGACTGATGCCACAGAGCTTCAAAGCAGACTGTCAAGGTAACTCAACATGCAAAAGACACTTCACTCTGCTTGGTTTATAGTTAGGTTACCAGCTAACATTGGCACGTGATGTTCACTGAGGGTGACTGGTATTAAGTCGGGAAGTGGTACACAAATGATTCTTATTATAACACGATATCTGCTTGGCAGCCCGCTGAGACTGGTCCTTTATTACATTGGGTGGTGGCAAAGACGGAGATTTTTATCAGTGTCAACCAACTTTCTTTTTGGTAGAAGCGAAAATAGACAAAATAGAAGGTTTGGAAAAAATTGGCCTGGTACAAAAAGTCTGTACTTAGGAATTGGTGTCTTAAAGTTTCTTCAATTTTTGTTTGGGGGGGTGGGGTTCAGGGAACTAGATCATAATGGCTGACGTAATGAGATCGATTGTATCCTGACAATTGCTCCGTGCATCAAACCACCAATGCCTGCTGGGTTTTATCCATTTATGACAAATGCCCTGCTTCTCTACATGCTGCTCAATCTATCAATGATGAGAAGGCAGACGAGACATATTGGGCATGGCGGCCTCCCCTTCCTCTCCTCATCGACGCCACCCTCGGCTCTCAGCATCCTCGTCGTCTTCTTCATCGTCCTCCAAGAGGAGGTCTTCATTGATGTCATCCAGATCCTGTGGGATGAAAGCAATCAGCACATTTCAATGTCCAGTCCAGATGTAAGGAGTACGATCAAGCCTTCACAAGAAATGCATTATCACATACCCAGGCCCATCTTCAAAATACATTTCTAGGGAATTCACACCTCACAGCTGGAGTAAAATCACATGTAAACAAATTTCAGGCGATTTTTGCTCGAAACTAGTGATTTGTTTAAATCGGAAGAACTGAATTCAGTTGTGCTTAAAATAATATCATCTTGATCTGAACTTTTCAAATAGAATCTGATCTTCCCCATTCGGGAATGACAAAACCTTTAACAGAACTATGTTGGAACATTTAAAAATAACAATATGGTAGAACAAAGAAAAGAACAGATTTCCAATTATTGTTGACATCAACTTGGCAAACTTCTGTGATGAAACATATAAATGATATTTGGCATTGCAAATTTGTGAAGCAAATTATGATCCTTCTTTTACAACTCACCGACTTAACAAGGTTTGTCTTATGATTATCACACTTACTGTTAATTTTACTGACAGACACAATCATGTGCCTGCTCTTGTTGGCAAAGATTAGCACAAATGTTGAAAAGCTGGTCTTTATTTCAAAATCGGGGTACTGCCAAGTTTGAGTATCAATGAAAATATAATTCACAAGAAGATGGCAAATCAAACTGCCTCTGGTGACGCATCGATTCAAAAAATAAATATTAGCATCAACAATATGAATATTCATGACATGGAGATGACTCTTCTACAGTAAGCCACTGACAAGAAAATAATCTATCCACTTGCAGATGACCAATACCTCCAATGCCTTGTCAAGTCATGAACAGAATGACTAAGAATGTCAAATGAATATTCATGAATGCTGATTTGACTAACCTCATCATCTTCCAGTTCTCCGCCCACTTCAATGATGTCCTCCTCCACATCCGGCTCCGCCTCCCCAGCCAGGGGAGTCTGTTGTGGGGTGTGCCACACCATCTGTAACTGCCGGTCCTTGAATAAGCCTCCCTTCTTTACAGCCTGAAGAAATACGAATCCAAAGAAAGGATTCAGTGATAAAAGCAACCGATAGTAAGATCGTGTCTGAATCAGACCTCCAGAATTATGGCTATGTCTACTGTAAACACATCCCTGCGTACTTCCAACAGGCAAAGATCTAGACCTAGCTCTAGATAACATATGCAGCTGCAGCCTAGGAATGGCTCAGAAAGAAGGAAAATGCTGCACGTTGATGCAAGAGACAAGTCACGTCCGAACTATGTGGCTGCGGCTGGCAATTACACTCAACTCTATGGGAACTAACTGCTGCCACTACCAAAGGAAGTTAAAGGTTTAGAGTCACAGTCACCATTGCATATTTTTGGGGTTGGTCAGTTTGATAAGTCAATTATGAATATCTAGGTTTCAGGTGATTTGACACTCATTTGTAATCCTTTCATCCCACTTTGATTTCCTCATCAAATACTCACGAATTCAGCTTCTTTTCTTGTCTTGAACCCAATGACGTACGTGTGCAAGGCCTCATCATAGACAACATTCTCTATCTCGCCGAGGTCCTGACAATAAAAGTGACATCAGGACAGGAAAGATAAGAGTCCGCACAGCCTACAAAGAATTTTCAGCCGTGAGGCATTTGCTGGTGGAAGGGCTAAGCAATATCTGAGCCTGTTTTACTCACTGGTGGGGGCGGAGCTTTAAAAATTGAAAAAAAACCTTGTATTAGATGCTGTAACTGCAGAGGCACTGCACTCACACGCATTCCTCAGCTTGGCGCGTGCATACATTTGGCAAATCATGAGGTCTTATTGGTTGAAGAGGCATTGTAACACGTGCGTACCACCTGTCCACAAGCGTTGTGCCACCGCAGTACTGGCTTCTAATTCTGGTTGGTGAATCACAACATATCAAAACATGTTCTTCTCTTGATTTTTTTGACAAAAGGGAAAGCAGTCGCAAACTTCCCAACTCAGTGTACAAACACCAGAAGGTTGTCGGCTGTTACTTTCTACAAATATTAAGGCTTTAGAGTGACAATACATTTTGAAATCTGTGAAAAAAAGACTTTATCTCACACACACAAAAAATGGTACAATTAAACTGCTGTTTTGAGGGAAATAGAAGAAATGGATCAGAAAACGGTGGGGGAATGGATAAGGAAGGGATGAGGGGAGGGATGAGAGAGGGGTGGGGAAAGGGGTAAGGGGATTGGTGAGAGAAGGGGTGGGGGACAGGATAGGGGAAAGGGTAAGGTGATGACACTTTCTCAATACTCACACTAAAGTGTGTCAGGACTTCATCCTTGTCCTCTGGGTCAAACCCACTGATGCCCAGGGTCCGTGGTCGCTTGTCAATGGTGGTGCTGGAGTGGCTCAGCCTACGGGCCCGGCCCCGCCCTCGACCACGCCCACGAGCCCCACCTCTGGAAGCAGCCTGAGAATGTAAGAATGACCACAATGCAAGCACCCTCTCAATGAAATTATACAAGCATTTGTGATAGAAGAGATTTTAACCATCGCAGCAAAATGTAAGTTTTGATTCAATCTTGATACAGTTATTTTTCAAATAATTAATATTCTTTCATAACTAGAATCGCTCTTTCCACATGTACACTGGAGGGAGGCATGCAGTCAATTTCAACATGTTGCACAGTTTTACAAAGAGTAGAACCCATGGTGGAGGACAGAAAATGGAATAATGTACCACAAACTCAAATCAACCTGCCTCCCATATTTCAAAGCAAGGCATGGTAATGTGTGCTGCAACGAATACCTTATCTTAACGAAAGTGATGAGTTTTTCTTCTTGATGCCAATTTGTGAGAACCGACGGGTGAGTACTCACATTCATGTAGTTGAGTGACGCAGTGCGTGTGCTGATCTCTCTCTTCAGCTGAGCAACTCGCCTGTAGAGCTCGGTAGCGTCTCCTCCGTCAGACTGCTGGTTGTATAGCTCCAGCTCCGTGTCCAGTAATTCTTTCTGAACCTGTGTTAGCCCAAATGATCATCCAACGTGAACACACCAAAAAAAAACAACTGATGGCAACCTACATTTTACGGTCATAAAAAATCTGTGACAGAAAAAAGTACACAGTGCATCTGGGCCTGTTTAGATTGTAAATGGAACATGTCGGAAATACATGCAGGTGACAAATGCTTTGAGAGGTTTTAAACTCCATGGGATCTTGTTAAATTTTGTCACGAAGAACGTATGGAGAAACCACAATCTGGTTTAAGCTGTCTGAAATAACCCTAACCCCCCTAGGCTCCTGCACCAGAATGCCTGCAGAACCTCACAAAATCATACAGATACATGTACAGGTCACTGTACCAAACCTGATCAACTCCAAACCTGATCAACTCCAACAGAGTGAGCCCGTTGGAGTTTGAGTGATATGGTATGGATGGGTCTATGCAGTATAGGATGACTTGCACTGAACAGTACCAAACCTGACAAAATCAAGCA